GTTCTGTCTTTTCTGATAGATCGCCAGGCAAGAGTGTAACATAGTGAGCATCTGTGGGGGCAGGACGTGGGAGTGCTGGTATTGAATGAGGGAGAGCGAGACGATCTGTAGACATGATAGTTGGAGGTGGGGGTCGGTGATTGAGAGTGGATGGGACGCCGGTATCTTCACCGACACTCCATTACGCCGTCCCCATCCTGGGTTTGTGCCTAAGTGTGGTCCCTTACTTAACTTAAACAACTCGTTCGGTTCCGTGGTGCGTTACAGTGGACTCAATCCCAATCTGTCACGACTGCAGACGCACTTTCTCATCACGCACAGGTCCGGTCGATCATTTGCGAATCCATCACATATCGACCGGCAAACCAGCGCCTGTAACCCTGACATACACTCGTTGCATACGTTTTATCGACTTGCATTACCCCAGGATATATAGGTTTTGCATACGTCTTTCCGAACATGAAAATGATCTTTACCACAGGGTTATCACGAGAAGCCTATCTCATATGCCCGAAAACTCCTCTACCCCAGCACTACCAACTCCACCACCACTGTCGTCACTACTAACAGCATCGTGGCACCGGCAGCCCATTAGCCACAGTTTCGTTTTGTTGTTGCTGCCACCGCTCATTTATATGACGCATCGGCCTGGTTGGGCACTTATGAATCCACTGCACGGAGACAAGACCCCAGTATGCATCCGTCGCCCCTGTTTTCTCCGCTCGCGTTACTCGGGGGCATTTTTTATCCCATGAGCGTGTTTGGCCATACACACCTTAAAATCTACGGTAAGATGTCACAGACCTTATCACCCCCACACCACACCTCGTCCCACCAGCCCACACACCGCAAACGAACCGCGTTCGCAATACCCGATACACTGACAGAACATGTCAGTGGAAAGCACGTTCTTTGGTGCAACATGCTGACCGACCAAGTCGTCTGTGGTACACGTGGATGGGCTGTCGCAGCTCCACCAGTTATTGAGTCCAATCCCAGCAACGGTTGACTGATATGCTCGGACAGTTAACTTACGCACTGGTGAGCGAAGAGGGAGCAAAACCGACTCTGAGGATCCCAGTCCCACGATTGGTCAGTGCATTCCCCACAATAATAAATGTGGGGCGCTCTGAAGTTATCATGGTGCGCTAACTGTCATGGCTTGGACAACTGCCAGCTGGTCGGATAACTCAGTCCTCATGGACAGGACTGTGTATGCGGGCGACTGGTTCCAAGACGGATTTAGACTCAATGGCTCCTTCTTACTGCGGCCTTTATGCCACTCTCACGGAGGCGAGGTCGAGATCCGGTGTACTGTGCGGGGAACCAGACCATGTGTGGCATGTGTAGACGAACCGTTTGGTTTCGTCAGACATTGTGTCCGAGCCCACATCCGGTCGTCTTTGAATTATCTTTTTATTGCTGTCTGGTGAATGGGGAAGGAATGTAGTGGATGTTGCGCAAGTCTGGGCCACCATAAACTAATTCGCGCGTAAGTCACCGGTACTGCATCCAACCCGTGACACACGATGGACGTCGTCGGTCACGGCTGTTGAACTCCCAAACTGTTTAGTTGTTCATGAGTTTAAACACACTTTTGTGTCCCTAGTACATCCTTATTTCTTCACTGTGAAGGCCTCGGACCCCACCTCGGCTGTTTACATCCAAGTATGCCGACAACTGCCGCCGATCATCCCGACAGCAGTTGACTTGAACCCAATGTATCAAAATGATGATTTGAAAGACAGGAAATTGAGCGTCATTTTAGGCTGTGTTACCGCATTTCGATGGTCGACAACCGGAACGTTCCCAAATCAGGTAGGGAAGATGGCAAAATGGACATGGTTTACTGAGGCGATGTAGTATACACGCAGCTCAGTAAGCAACAGCAGCCGACGTTCCCACCAGACAAGTGTCAGCCAAGCGATTGCGCCTAGACTTCGCCCGGTTGTGACCAATCCGTGAAGAGAGGAATATCGATCGACGTCAGGGCATGGCATGCCGAAGGTTTAGTGACACGTGTTAGGCGGACCGAAGGCGACATGGGTAAACGGCGGAGCTGACGACCGGTAAGGGCGGGCAGCTGCATCGTCCCCCTGCCACTGCTGCATATGATGGGATCCGTCCCAACGAAAACCCATCCCCAGTGCAGCTGTCTGGTGGAATTTTCGTGCTGAACTTCCTTTACACAAACTTCGAAGGCCACCATTCCCAATGCGATGTTACTGTCCCTCGTCCACCAGTCACTCCGCAGTAGCGATTCGTTGGTGTTCAGTTATTGCAGTTAGTCTTGGCTTAAAAGGACTGTATAAATAAATAAATAACTTTTATTAAAGACCAATCGGGGTCCCATCAAAGCATATATATAATGGTAGGGGGCGCTCACCGATCGTTCATACGGAACTCACTCGTTCCGATGTGCCTTAAGGGCTCTCTCTCTCGAGCCCAACCAGCAGCCGCACAGCGATGCATGATATATAGGCTTGGGTATGGCTGGCTGACGACGGCTAATAAGCCAGAAATGGCCATTCCAGTCTCCCTTGTCTTTGTCGGTAATGCCATTCTGCCTATATATATATATATATATATATATATATATATATATAATGTTAGGGGGCGCTCACCGATCGTTCATACGGAACTCACTCGTTCCGTTGTGCCTTATGGACTCTCTCTCGAGCCCAACCAGCAGCCGCACAGCGGCGCATTCTGCCTATATATATATATATATATATATATATATAGTCACTCAGGAATGGGCGCACACCGATCCATTGGCTTCCCGAAGCAAACAAGCTTCGTATGGGCGATAGGGGTCACGAACAGGCAACCACCTACCAGGCCGAAGTCGGTCAAGCTATGATAGCAGAGGGGAGACGACAGAGTTTGGGGGTAGATTGATACAGCACTGTTTCGGGCTTGTTTGCCTTCATTCAGCCAATCATAACCCTGACCACCAGCTGGTACCGGGAACACAAACATGCGCTCAGACGCACCTGGTCCACCACTGCGGTCTACCAGATGGGTCATAAGCACTTCATCGAACCGAAGTTCATTAGTGCCTCGTCCCTCCTCGCTGCTATTATGACTTGGCCGACTTCGGCCTAGTAATTGGTTACCTGTTCGTGACCTTTGCCACCCACACGGACTTTGCCTCGTGAAGCCAATAGATCGGTGTGCGCTCATTCCCGATTGAATAAATACCCGATCTGGAGCGACAGAGATTGACAGGTGGCGAAGCACTGATGAACTTCGGTTCGATGAAGTGCTTATGACCCATCTGGTAGACCCCAGTGGTGGGACACATGCGCCAGGTGCGTCCGTGTTTCTGATCCCAGCTGTTGGTCAGGGTTATGATTGGCTGACCAACCTACCCGCATTCTCTGTCATTCCTCCTCACTGATATATACATGCTTACGCTAATCCTGTACACCCAAATGACATAAGTTTTTCTTTCTACATGTTAGCACCGTTCGGTCGAATTTCATAACAGCACTTATCTTCATGGCTCACTTGACTCATTCTTGTCTAATAACAGCAGAGTACCTTTGTCCGTCACGAAGTGAGTTTCGCATAAGCCTGAGGGGCTTCCACGCTCCGTGATTATCCGATTACTTTTCTTACTTATGAAGGACCGAAAGCCTGGAAACAAGGGCCGACCTGCTTAAATAGCAATTTTAACTACGGATGCCCTTCGTATCCTCGTAAAATTCAAATAGTTTCCCAAACATTTTGCAGCGATGTTCGGAGGTCCAGGCTCCTGAAAATATCTATCACTTCAAAATGAAAACGTCCTCGGGGTTTCAAAGTGCCTGCCTTGCCCGAATCTCCTGTCCAAACCGAATTTCTTCAAGACAATAGGCGCGGGAGTGAAACTTTAACGGCACGACGTACAAACGCGTTGAGATAGCCAAACAAGAATTCGAAAGTAGGGGACCAAAATTACCAAAGCCGCCAAATCCTTTAAAGTTCGATAAACCGCCCGTAGAATACAACGATGACCGCAAGCAGCCGCCAAGCACAGAGTCCGCCCGTGAACTGGATTATAATGACAGTGGGACTTGCGAGACCCTGAACCTGTCCACTTCCGTGCAACCAGCGTCTTCAAATGACAAGACCCAACCAGGACGACTGCAGAGGAGTTTGAACGCACTAAATCTCCATTTACGCACTCCAAAGCACAGTGGGGTTCCTCCTTACTAACCGAACCGAACAGCAGACGTAGATTCGTTGGATTTGGAAAAGTTGATTGGCCGTCAACGCACTCAGCAGTTTTGTGTAAACTCCAATGAGAACAGGGCGACCGCCGTGGCCAGAGTGGCATTACCAACCTGCGTGACCTTCAATCCATCAAAAAGATGACGCCTTCAATGGTTCTTCACGGTGTTGCGCAAAACCAGATAAAGGTGACGGAAACCAACGAGATGAGTTATTAAGAGTGCCACTTATGTGCCCTTAATGCTAAAGAGGGGCCATGCAAGCCAGTAACGGGTATAGATCTACGGCCTAGCAAGCAAATGCCCACACCGACAGATTGCTGTCGACCTAATTTTCAAAAGCAAATAGCAGATATCAGTTTGATCGGGAGAAACTGAGTGTACAGTGGCCCCCTGAAACGAAGGAACGGAACAGCGAGCCGAGCGAAAACGTATGTGGAACTCCAGTTTTGGTCTATGGGTTTTAAAAAGATGTGCCGGAGAATCGAGCGGCGCAAAGGAAGTTCATAAAGGTGGTAATAATGTACAGGAAAGCACAAAATAGTATAAGTCCAGTCAAACGGAGTGTCGCCCGACTAAACGGTGTTGGTAGGGGGTGAAGATGGTGGTAAACTGAAAAAAGGTCCATTCCGTGGACAACGGCGGCCATCGTCAGTACTGACAGAGAAGTTGGCCATCGTTCTCAGACACCCAACTATAACATGGAATATTGGGAGGTGAAGCGCAGTATGCCCTATACTCGTTGGATAGCTGAGAACAGGGAAAGAGGTACACGGATGCTGACTAAAGGGCCATCTTTCTGCCCTCAATACTCATCGGAACTGCTCGCACAAACCGATTCTTCCTCCTGACTGCAGCATTCTTACTGAGTGCGTGGATGTGAGTCTCGATTCGAGAGGTGGTGCCGACCTGAGATTTGCGGCCGCCAACCATGCGGTGTCGACGAGGTTGATCACCACCCTCCTTCTCGTCCTCATCTTCATCGTTTTCTTGGTCTTCAGTGCTGGGAAGATTCCACTTTGGCCGAACCACGTAGTCCTTATTCGACGGCTGTGGTACGCGCGCACGACTGACCCATCCAGGGTCACCGGGACGAAGTACGCTAAGAAGAAAACGGGAAGTAATGAATTGGCACTCAGTTTCAGAAGCGTGTGGTCACCACGTCTAGAAAAAGTCATACATTTAGCTAGTGTCGAATATCTCACACAGGGGATGTTTACGTGTAGTAAACGTGAAACTTCTATGTATCTAGCAAACACTTTCCTATTGATTATATAACATGTGTGCCATTCGCCCATGCGCACCATATTTTTGAAGATCCACCACGTACACTCATCATATTGGACTCCGAATCTGACTAAGAAGTCCTGGAACTCAAGCTACTACCCCGCCTGCATTAACCCGTTAGTAGAGATTTCAGAACGAGTAGGAAAGACGGAGAAAGCAAACGGTAGAAAAGCGGGACAATGGTCACGTAAAGTAGTAAGTTGTGGAACATAAAAAGGAATAACAGACTGCGGCTGGGCGACACAAATAACACCGACGCAGCTCCTACTTATTGATGGTCTAAACATGCGTCAAATTCCCTTTGTGGTAAATCTGTCATCGGTGTCTTGCAAACAGGTTTTCACGAATCGGGACTAAAGGAGCCAACCAAGAGGTTGCTAAGAGCTCGCTAGCATCGAAAAGTCCCAACTGTTCGAACACGGTGGTGCAAATTGCACTTAAATGGGAACGAACCCTTGGCACTGAATGATAGAGTGTACGAAAATTCCTCGATCACAGTAGCGGGTGTTTCTTAATGGTTCCTGAACCCTCGGTATTCGGTCTCCGCAGCTGACGAACAGTAACTTGTGGCTTGAGTAAGACCTACTGCCGTAAATGTAGGAGGGCGTTTTGTGCACAAAAACCACATTCCTACGACATCACGGGTGGATGGCACTGGAGACAAAAGAACAGTAACAGGTACTCCACTTGAGTCCAGATGAAGCTATGGGGAAGAATGAAAAAGAAAAACGAGGTGGGAGGGGCTAAACAATATAGCGGGCGGACTACTCACCCTTGCTGTTCCCCGTCCATTTCGCGGTTGATGTCTCGACGGTTCACCTCCTCACTACTAGAAATAAAAAAGTTGTTAAAGAAAGGAAGAAGGCTCGTATGTACTCGTGAGTTCGTCGTTTCGGTAGATGTTCATAGTCGAGCTGTTTGCGCTCCTCTTTCGTAAGGGTCCGGTAGTCGCTGGTAAGGTTGAAGATGGGACGAGACCACTCGTCTAAAGGAAAAAAGGGTATAAAACACTGCAGGATCTGTTTCGTTTGTTATGCTGAAGTACATATGCATAGTTGTAGATCGAGTATATAAGCCCAAGAACATAAATGCGTTTCAAGTACTACAGAAAGGCGCGTAAATAGTTTTGCCGTTTAAGGTGCGTTAACTTTTTGTAAAATAATGTGTAAGAAGCGCTGGTTTTTGTAGCTGCATAAGTACAGTAGGAGTGCTGACTCGTGAAATGTTAACCGAAATGCGTTTTCGACTCAAAAAGATTACTTGGGTAGCGTGGTAGTATTAATTGCCGTGCAATATAATCCCCAGATATTTCAGTTACTTCAGGATGCCGGCTTCCGAACGAACTTTTTTAAGACCGTCGGCAAAAACTACACTCTGTAAAAATGACTATTAGGCAGTATGAATTTTTCTTACTGACTTTCGATATCCTTATATATTCAAATATATTTCGTAGTAAGCATACATAAACATACTCACTCTTTTATTCATTTGGATGGCAATTACGTCTTCTGAAAATCTTATGCCTGTGGGAAGGATATAATTAGTTTTTAAAAAAACTTTTCCGATTCCCGAATAAGTTTGAACCCGACCTGCCGTGACAATTACATTCAGGGTTTCCAAACTATGAGCTGTATACTTTCCGCGTACAGAAAATCACACATTTCTATACGCTATTAAGAAGAGATTATATGGGGTTCATAAAAAGTAGCAGTGGATTTTAGCCATATTGTAAACTTCTCCAGCAACATTAGTAAATTTAGAGACAAGATGTTTAATGAACGGGCATTTCACGGTCTTAAAAAATCTCATAATTAGAAATTTTCTTAAAACCGAACTATACCCTCCCATCAAGCATAAAATTTAAAGACGAAGTAATTTTCTTCCAGATGAACAAGAAAATGAATATTTTTATTTCTGCTTTCTGTGAAATATATTTAAATTCATAACGACATCGAAAATCAATGATAAAAATTCATACTACTCAAGCAACCCTCTTTTGCACAGTGTGGTTTCTGCAGACGGCCTGAAAGAAGTTCGTTCAAAAGTCGGCATCCTGAAATAACTGAAATATCCTGGGATCATGTTGCATGGCAATTAATGCTAACACCCTACTCAAGTAACCTTTTCGGGTCGAAAACGCATTTCGGAATTTCGGCTAACATTTCATGAGTTAGCACATCTACAGTAAATATCACGTGAATGACCCACACCATCCGCAGAACAGAAGGTCAAGTACACAGCGATCTAGCTGTTTAAGAAGACAGACGAAAAATTGGGAGGGAATAAATGCACTCACTGATCAGATGGCCCGCACGTCGCTTGTTATCCCTATTCTCCCTGGGATGCCTGTAAAGATACATAACGGCCTTGCCAATGCCAGATTCTCGCAGAGTTTCCGGCTCTAAGTTTGAAAACTCGGCGAGGTGGCGTAACATCGTTTCCCTAATGATCACATTTGGGAGTGTCTGCCCTGGCAGAGGAGAGAGCCAGTCCGTAATTGCACTCAGCATGCCGTTATCAACAAGGGCTGCCTTAAGGTCAGCCTTCTTTAGTAGGCTGCTCACAACGTTCAGCATGGCGAGTTTTTTGGTGGCAGGGCGGTTCGCGGCCAAAAGAAATCGATCCTCCTCGGCAGTCTGTCGCATTTGGAGTATAGTTTCCCTAATTATGTCGTCGCTATCATTGAGGAATTCATCGTCCTTGCCTAATCGTCTCTTCCGTCGAGTTTCCTCACGTTTCTTACTGAGAATTTTGTCGAAGTCAGATTCAAATTCCTCCGTCTCCACCTCATCATCTTCTTGCTGCTCGTGATGATGACGAGAAAGGGTTGAAGCAGTGGGCTCCTCGTCCAGCACTTCCTCCTGTTCTTCCTCTTCCCCTTCCTCCTGACCTGCCGCTTCCTTTTCAACTTCATTTTCTGCAAAACCCTCGAACTCTTCCTCCTCAGCATCGCTTTCTCCAAAAATGTCTGCTATTATCCCTTCTACTTGCGACTTGGCCTGTTCGGCCCCGTCAAAGCCCTCAAAATCTTCACCGCCTTTGTCACCGTGGTTTTCATCGAAATCTACACTTTTCAAGATTTCCGAATGGTCATTTTGAGGGGACAGGGTCTGTTGAGCCGGCCTATATGATACCTCATCTGCTACCGGCGTGGAAGGATCGTATGGCAAGGGGGAAGAATCTGTCCACGTCCGGTGACCAACAGCGCCTTCTTCGCGGGGTTCATCGTTTTCGGATTCAGAAGCAGAATCGGCTGGTTGGCTTGGAGAGTATCTGGGAGTAATAATGTCCTGCAGGGGCTCAACACGATATTCGCGATCACCGTCTTCATCTGAGTCAGTGGCTGGATCCACATGTGAGGGTTTGTAGTCAATTGATTCGGTGTCAGAGACGTCCTCGAGGTCTTCGCGTAACGATCGAAGACGAGAGGAGGCCTGGCTTGCACGACCCGCGTGACCGTCCTCATCTGAGCTTGTAGGTGAGTAGGGAAGTTCGCCGACTTCTGAGGGCACATAGTGCGGCTCGTACTTACCCTCGTCGGAAACCCTCGCCTCATTACGAGAAGGGTTATAACCAGTGCTGCTGGGCGTGTAGGCCGAACTAGAAAACGAAACAGAATGACGTTATTTCGTTCTGTGCTATGATGAGAAAAAATAACATAGTCTAGTATGTAAAAAGTACAGTGAATGTGGTGGAAGACGGAGTTTACAATAATTATTTTGCTAGCGTAAAATACAACCTTGATGTTTTCCCTGTCGGTTTCTTTCATACGACTGTCTGTGGTATTTTTGAACTAATGGGCCGGTGTCAGTTCACAGGTAGTATCCAGCAAAACGCAACATGCCGGGGAAGACGCGATGTTTGTTGACTACGTGGCGTGTCTAGGGGGTGGTCGATAGTGGTCGAGAGTCTTCTGGGCCTGTGAAATGGGCAGCCGCAAATAATAAGAAATAGAGCTACAAGAGGCTACATGCTGAGGTTCGAGACACCGACTGCCCTATAGACTGGCGCATCGTGACTGACGACATCGCCACAAGGCAAGGAGAAACCGCTATTCTGCTGCTACTGCCTAGCGGTATTCGTATTTGACTAAAGACCGATCGAGAACCCAACTTGCGTCACGTTCCTGAGCACACACGATGCAATTTTCTCCATCACGACTCCCATTTCTGGCTGTGGCGTCCACAACAGCTGGTGCGTCCGGGTCCACCAATGAACCGGGTGGTAAATACGTAGAAGAGTACTGCGCATGACGTCCACGAATGTGAAAATCATTTTTGCTCAGACAATGCCGAACCCAGTCACGCGACGGTTGATGCAGTACCATCAAGAATTGATTGGCAGACCATAACTTGTGTAATATTATGCGCCGAAAACCAGAGAATGCGTCAATCTTCGTTGTAATGTCATCAGTGAGAATTGTGACCGACAGAGGGTCAAAGATGCTCCAAGTGAGTAGGTCAGAGTTTAAACTGGACGCTGGTAGGTGGGGTCACTGGGAAGGTCGTTTTGAAGTCTCAATGGCGTTTTTATCGATGCCGTAATTGCTGCGGTGCGTGATTCGACGATTGAGATGGACTATATACAGAAAGACACATTTTATGCAATAATCAGGTGTCTCAATTAATGCCCTTGGTGTGGAACACTTAAATATTGGACCAGAGATGTACTACATGTACAATAGACGGAGTTCATGACCACTAAGCAGTGGAGAAGAGTGCAAGTGATTGAAAAGTTTGCCAGATTCACTGAGCCAAATAGCGTGCTCTTTACAAATACCTGCTTACGGTGCTTCGAGACATCTCACTCCAACTGGCCGAACTTAAAGCTAGAACGAATATGCAACTGCATAAAGAAGATGGACCAGCTCCGTGTCAGACATATGATGCCAGAATGACTGGGATTAATCCTTTTAAAGCTTAGACAGAGACCAGAGAGAGGGTGTGATCCGCATGCGATTAGGTCGTTGATTGCCTCAAAAAGTTAGCCACTGACACGTGCTCCCATCTGGCTATTTTATTGAGCCATATTGAGACGGCATTCATCCCCACTGATTCGGCCGATTATATGTCAAGTAGTAGCAGACGTCCCAGCGAAGATGAGCAAATCTACATGCCAGCCATTAAGACTGATGATCACAAGGACAGAAATCAGGTCGGCATCAGTTTTTGCTTCATTCAGCTGTCTCTTGTAAATCAGGCCCACGCCTCCGCCAGCGAAAACAAGACGTAGAAAATATTACAGTTCAGACGATTTTGGCTGCAAACACGGGCAGCACATGGTCTAAGCGGCCTCGGTCGGCGAGTAATAACGGTACAGTGGCTAGCCGTATTTATAAATAACAGTGAATTCATTCGTTGGAGACAGGACCAGGGCGGCTAATTACGAGAATGGGGCGCAGGCATCGAATACTTCTGAGCGTAATGATCATGTTAGTAACCGTACAAAAGAAATGTACCGCAGGAAGTAACGCAAAATACTAGTTTGCTCCTCTGGTTGGTTTCACGAAGATTTCAACTTAGGCTAACAAGGGTCCCGCGGGTGTGGATGATGTGGGATATTTTATTTTCAGGCTCACTCTGTTTTCCTTCGCACCTAGCCAGAACCCAGCTATCAGAACAGCTAAGATCCACAGTATACAATGGCGAACTACTGAAACATCCGGACGGACTGCGAATAGACGCAATGAAGGACACAATCCCTCAGTTACTGAACAACATGCTAAAGCCCTGCAAACGACAAAGATTACCAGTGTGTTGGATAGGATGCAGTGGAAACGTATGCGTGAATCTGTTTATAATGAGGTTAATTTGCGTGACATATAACCGACTCCAAGTCCCCGAGCTGAAGGCGTCATGAGAACAAGACAACCGGAGACGAGCATGAGTGCAATGGCCGACAAACGCAAACGGCCCGTCTACGTGTCACGTACAACTTGGTTCCTAAACTCCATATACACAAATATTTTTTGAGATTTCGACTCAGAGACAAGTGGGTGCTAAAAGGCCAGAATGAAGAGCCATAGAGGTCTAACCCGCAGTTCTATGTAGGAATAGGCCTTATCGACAGTCGACAATCCTTTAGACCGCGACTTCTAGCGCGCTGCGTTAGTTGCAAAGCGGATTTGGTTGGTTATCGTGAGGTACAACATCACTCTCTATTCTCTCACCCATACTGGCGACAAGTCTGAGTCAAACAGATTTGAAGCGAGAAAGGGTGCAGTGTCTCACGTAGCATGAAGCCGTCGTCTGGTGAGTGCGACACAGTTTATCACTTGGCCGATGCTAGGTGTCACATCGAGAAAATTAATTCCCGCACTATTCACATGGACTTTACCTGGTGACGGGTGGCACAGGCCCAGTGTCGGCATCCAGCATGACTTCCCTCAGCAATTGCAAAGTTAGATGCAAATTCAGGCATAAAGGATTTGAAACTGACTAGAATAGGCAACAGTGCATCTCCTGTATGGGTCTAAAGTAAGAACCAACTAGCCGCTTATTCTTAGCCAGAGGACAAAGCGTCAAAGTGTTGCTCGAACATTTATAAACCTCGGTAAACGAAACCCGATAACACTGTGCCATCAATGTTAAAGCGCTGATCTAGTGGTCCCGATTTTACTACTGGTAAGTGGTTGGACATCCGGTTGGCCGATGAGACATTAAAAACTACATGAGATACTATGTCTATCCAGGTACATTTAGCACGTAAAACTGGTATGGAAGTCTCACGGATCCCGCGGCCTACTCCGCTCGCCATGTCTCGTTATCAGAAAATGGGAGAGTGCGCGCAAAATGCGTTTCTATGCCAGAAAGACAGTTGATGATGATCATGAAGAGTGCTGTTGGACAGATTGCGCCAAGAAAGGTACGACTGAGACGACGCGACTAACAGCCAGCAATGATAAATTGGCGCGCATCAATCGGAAATCATTCATCCTGTTGTGCTCTGGCTTCTCCATCACTCGAACCCCGCCAGTTACCGCACGGCGGCGCGTAATAAGGAACGAATGATATTGCTGACAAAGACAAGGTTAACTGAAATGGTCATTTCTGGCGAGTTGGCCGTAATCAGTCAGCCATACCCAATCCCAAGGTACACAACTGCCCAGACGGATGGCGGCTAACACGCCAAAAATGGTCATTCCAGTCCCCCTTGTACTTATCCGCAATGTCATTCACGAATAAGTAAGTTAGATGTTACAATGGAGGAATCCTAGTTAACACATCGAGTCGAATGTCGATAACGTATTAATGCCAGTCACCGGGAGTAAGCGGAAAGTATAAACGAGAAGACTAATGGCGACGCCAATTTGGGCTAAGTACCTCATAGCGAAAGTGACTGGCGAGCAAACGGCCCCGGGAGCCCAGATACCAACCGCGCTTTGAAACAACCTGATACTAAACCAATAGGTCTCCATGCTCCAAAGCGTTACTCGCTCAAGTCGCAGAGTGAAGGTTTGCTTGACTGCTTAAGCAGTCTGGCGCGAAAGGTGGAAAATACACTGAATACTTCCTTCTGAACGGGAAATCAGAGCCGTAAACTCTCGAGAAGTGTGGCGCTTTTTGCGAGGAGGCTGGAAAGCATAGTGTTTCGGCCGAGAAACTCACTTGCACGCCATTGTCTGTGTTGAAATCCGTATGTATGCAAAGTTTCTTCTCGTGCGATGTAAAATATTCTCTAAATTATTTTCCTGACAAATCGAGATAAACAGACTTCACTTCGTACAACAGCCAGCGGTGTTGGTAGCTGCCTGTTTGCAAAAGATTTTGACATGCAAAGCTGGATATTTACCAAATAAATTCCTCGGCAAATTCGAGTAAGTGGATTTACTCCAACGACAAATGGTGGAGTAATATGAACACGTGAACTCGATGTGAGTTCTGTGAACCTTTTACCCGCGAAGGTGTTAGAGAATTTCTACAATGTGTGAGCCACCTTCACTGACACCATATCTCACTGCTTTGGATTTAGAGTTGAGATCATTTACTACAGACTCGCAAACCACCCTGCCTTTGCGGCTGCTACTACTGCTATTTCCAACCCATTAATTGTATAGTGTTTGTTATGACCCGGAAGGAAGTCAGGGCAGGAAGAGAGCTGATTCGGAGGACAATCACTTTATTAGCAACTTGTGGACAGGAGGAGTTACAGCTCGTCAGGAAGCTGCTCTACGTACAATGACCCCTATGTCTTCTGGAACATTCCGCCCAATGGTGTGTCAGCCGTTGAGGGCGTTCTAGAATTTTCCTGCTTGGGACATGCTGGTCGCTGATTGGCCACCGCGTACGCGATAGTCCCCCGCGGAAACGTGTGGAATGTTCGACCAGCCACTGACTGGGTCGTGCGCGTGAACAAAACCACCACACGTGCCCGACGCTGTAGTGCACGCCGGTCGGTCGTCTTACTTCACGCACGTCTAATGCCGCCGGCATGATCCCCCGTTCAGCGCCTTAGGCCGTGGCTCTACGCCTGTGACTTAGGAAATGTGGAGGTGTACGATTTAACCACCATACAGGACTGGAAAGATGCGTACGGAGAAATCGTCGATGGCCTGACAATCATCACACAAGACAAGCGCCCCAGCCTCTTGGTCATCGCTGACGTGCGATAGGCTCGACAAAACATTCGGTTTACCAACTCCTTATCTAGTAGGGACGTCGGGTTTGGCCAGGAAAGTAGCGCATCCAAAATTCAAAGGAGTATAATGCCAGTTGGCTGCGGAAAAGCAGGGTCTGACGAATGTGAGAGGCCAGAAATAGCCCTCAGTAGCATCGGGATGCCGCGGAACACAAAATATTCGCGAGGTTGTTTCGACTGCGCGGAACTTTTTCCAACATTGTTGCTCCTTTTTTTCTATGCAATGTGAAACCTGCAGCGATCTCCGATGGAAAAGTGCATTTTTAAAGCTGAACATGAAAATCCTCGTAGGTACAGTTGCGGGGTTGATAAAGCATAGTAACTAAAAACCAATTGCCGAAACCAGTATCAGTCAACACGTTGTCTCAAAACCGTCTATGCTGACCAACAGCCACGCCTTAATATATGTTCCAACACAGCAAAAAAGAGGCAAATAGACTACTAACCAGACATAATCAACCAATTGGGAAGTTGTATGCCTCAGAAATACAACATTGTTGGGGGTTGAGGCGATCGATTGTCAGAACCAGCAATGTCACTTGCCAAGTTCGAAAGCAAGCAAACCCAGAAACCGTGAATGGAGTTGGAAAGTGAATATGATAATCCGCATTTATTTTAAAAGGTCGCTCAGCTGGAGGACATTCATCAGACTACTGACAGATCCTTGGCTACCCGACTTCCTCCACTGAAGAAAGTGAAGGAAAGCCGGATGGGAAAGGTTAAGACGGGCATTGAAAGTTTAGGACAATCCGCGAGAGAAATAGTAGGCAGGATATTAACCCGATCCACGGGACTAACGAATAGACGATCATCGTCAAACGGAAGGCGACTGCTCAGAAGCAGGCAAATTATACGGATATTAAAACTGCCAAGAGGAAACTGAGATCTCGCTAAACGAGGGGAATAAGCCAGAGTAAACTAATGATTGAAAAGGGAACGACAAAATTCCGTTCCCATTTACTCGACACAAATAAGTCCTTGAGGTTTAAAGACAAAGATCGTCTGAAAAGTCGACCACAATCACAAATGGCCTAGAAGACCCAGTCGCGACGATTCTGAAAACTTGTTGATTGATATGAAAGATACGGACAATAAAGGTACAGATAATGTGCATTAGACCGAAAACGGGGTCCTGAAGTGAACGGCAACCAGAACATCGTCATGAATGATCCACCGGAAACTCGTAAATCAAGAATATCAAATAACAAGTTGAGGCTTCTCAAGGAAGAGTGTTTGGTGATTCAGAAACTCCAGAGGACGAATATGAATCCCCTTAGAATTACATTTAGCTTGCTCTGACTTGTTTCAAAGTTCTCCATCCCGATGAACAAGCTACAGTTCTGAAAGCGTTCGGATTCGGAAAGCGCACTACTGCTTCCTCCATTTCGCCGCATCCCAGTACCCTAAAAGTTGAGCCGAGTTGCCAAAAAAGATCGACCCGATTCTCCCAACAAGTTTTCACCTAAAAATAACGAACAAATAGTTTTTCCAGCCGGATTGCGTGTCGCAGGAGCAGTTAAATTGTCAGCACTTAGTTTGGACGCTGGGAGTGAAAATGATGGGCGGAGAACAAAATCTCGTTATATAGGACAACAGGATAATCGATCGGCTGCCTGGCTCATATAGTCTAGAATACTGTTCGCTTATAGTTAGCCGCATGCTTGTTGCTGAGCGGGCGAAAATAGAATCTGTCTAGCCTTTTTTCCAAGAGCGTTTTAACCTAGGAACGCCGGAATTTGTTTTTTCAAGGAGGTTGCTGGTTTAGAGGCCTTAATCTCTTCTGGTTTCGTCGACTGCAAAAGGGATTATTTTCGCCGGTTAAGCTTTTAAACAATCTTACCTTCAACCCACTCACTACTTCAAAACATCTTGGCTACGTCAGACGTACTAGTCACCGTGAGGTCTTTTTTTCTTCCTCTGGCACCTTCCGTTAAATATCGTCGTTTCTCCTCTGTGAACGAAGTTGCAATTTGGAACAAATTACTAACGAATGTAAAAATTAGCAAAATTACTTTTTGTTTAAGAGAACGACTACTCGCTTTATGCATACAAAAAATTTCCCACATATTTTGAATGCCGAATCCACCGAGTTAATCTATCGTATTGATGAAGTTCGTGGTCTCTGATCCTCTTGGCCGACCTTACCACTGACAATTTCTTTAGCCGTTAGCGAACAACGGTTCCTCAATGACTCTATTTGGTCCAGTCCCGATTCCATAAGAAGGAATGGAGACTGAAAATGTCCGGTGTAACATTGCCCATCCTTTTCTTGAATGACGTCATTTCATGGGAAGTGGTTTTCTTCCTCTGAACCATCCGAACTACGAAAACGACATCCTCTGTATATATTCATGAGGAGTTATTTTCACTGCTTGCCCGATCCGTGCTTTATTGTTCTTTGACAGTACCTGTATCTTATGACCTGGCCTGGTAATGACAATTCACGTAGAACGTATGGGCACCTGTCTATTGTCTCCAATACTAACGTGGCAGAGAAGAAGAACGCAACCGACCACGAAAAAGTGCATTAGGAAAATGCAAGTTCAGTCTAACTGGGAAAGCGACGCGTATTTTTAATAATAATTTTTATTCAAGACTCGTGGGGGGCCGGTCATAGCAAATAATTATAAATTTTTACATGAATTTTAGAACAGGCATGCAGAATCTATACAATACTTAATTCGTAGTTATTGAATAAGTAGTATGTAACACAGAAGTATGAGCGAACGGTGAAAAACTCCTAATATACAAAAAAATTAATATGACTGGATTAACATTATAGAAGAAGAAAGCTGTCGCCGACGAGAGGATAAAAAGCAGGCAGGACCGACCTGCATGTGGCAGTGTATAACGGATTTCATGAAGGGGTAAGTATGCGGGTCAGACAGGACTGGCCTGCATGCGGTATTGAGTAAAAGGTTCGAAACGGACATCATAAAGGCAGAATTCATATGCCGGATGAGACCATTCATGTAAAAGTGGCCAACAGAAAACCAGTCCCGAGGCGATTGGAACCGGATGCAATCGGTTACAGTCAGCTTCAAGTCCAACCGAGGAGGGGGCAAGGGAGATGCGACCCGACTACTAGTAGATGGCGAATACAGAGGGTTCCGCCAAGAGCGTCGATAGAGCGCATTCTGTGAGGGGCACGATACATTAACGGAAAATTGACGAAAGTAACATTTCTGGTTGCCCATCGCTGAAGTCGACTGGCTGAATAGACGGGAATACTATTCTTCGAACGAAAGATTGACAGCAATGGTTTGCGATCCGTCAACAGCATGAAAAACGACCGAACAACAGTTTTTGAAACTTCCTGACGGCAAACACCAGGCTAGAGCCTCTTACTCTATTTGCTCGTACTTCTTCTCCGCAGGGGTTAGTGTGCAAGATGCATGCATGATCGCCTTTTCAAACCCGCGAGGAAAAATATGTAAGATGTTGGCACCACATCCGCGGTTGGAAGCATCTGCAGAAACAACGATCGGCAGCGTCAGGTCGTAGTGCATGAACAGCAGATCTGAACTCAGCATCGACTTCGGCTGTGCGAAAGCCTTTTCACAGTCGGAGGGCCAGCATTAGGGAACATCTTTCTGCAGTAGACGGTTGAGCGGGGTCCGTACATCATGCAGCTCGTAGGTAGGCGCTAAAGAAGCCGATCGGGCTAAGGAACAAAAAAACTACGATACA